GAATGGGGTGAGAGACAGTGTCGAAGGCCTTGCTAAAGTCCAGAAAGACTACGTCCACCATGACACCTGCATCCAAGTATTTTGTGACCTGGTCGTAGAAGGCAACCAGGTTGGTCTGACAAGACCTGCCCCTAATGAACACATGTTGGTTGCCCCTAAGCATAATCTCCCCTGCTGGTCCCTCGCAGATGTGCTCCTGCATAATTTTTTCAAAGAGCTTCTGCAGGACTGAGGTAAGACTAATGGGCCTATGGTTACCTGAGTCCTCCTTCCTCCCTTTTTTTTGTCATGTTTGTCTGTCTCATCCAGTTTTTCTAGTGGACATTTGTCTCCATCACAACAGCACCACACTTCATGTGATTATTTGTCTCAGCTCAGAAGAGGGCCAGGAGTGAAACTTAGGTCCTCCAGTTTTCTGTGATAGCTGAAGTTTAAACTGTCCTCCATGTTTTACTAGGCAATTTTGCAGGATATTAAAAATCTTGATTTTAATGCTTAGCGGAGGAAAAATGCCTCCTCCATTCATCCTCTGTTGTGAGATTTTGTTGTTACTATGTGGTCTATCAAACATGAGAGAACAGATCTTTAAAGATGAAAAATATGCAAGGCAAGAGCAGATTTATATGTCAGTACTGAAATGCATCAGATCCATGGGTACTGAACAGTAGGGCCAGTGTGGGCCACAATTCACTTGCGCTGGCAGAGCTATTGCAGAAGTGCATCCAGGATTAAGGTGTTGTGACAGAACTGCAACTGAGTGCCTTTTCTTGACAGAGCTAGGGCAGGGGAAGCTCACATCCTAACCATCTCAGGCCTAACACTAGCCATAGTTAGTTACCCATCCATCAGTTAGTTACCAGTTTGAAAGCCAGATATATACACTGGCACGTGCATGTTCATGTGCAAACACACATCTGCACATACACAGATACATAGAGACACATACACTTAAGTCGTGATTAAATCATACACCATCCATGATTTAAAAGAGAAAGAAAAACTCTTTATTTTGCCATTACCAGTATCTCAATTACAGTGTTTGATCTTAATGCCTGCATATGATTTTTTGTGATGAACACAAATCTCCTACATTTTTCTTTTTCTTGTTCTTTACAATAAAGCATACTCTTAATATTTTTTCTTGTCAGGGTACGGAGTTGAACGATGACCGGACACCATCCAATGCCACAGTGACAACCACCTTTAATATCCTGGTCATTGACATAAATGACAATGCCCCGGAGTTTAACAGCTCTGAGTACAGTGTGAGCATTCCTGAGCTGGCCCAGGTTGGATTTGCCCTCCCCCTTTACATCCAGGTGCAGGATAAAGATGAGGTGAGACATTATAGTACATATTGAAATGTACCTGCTGCACATACACCCTCTGTGCTCCCATGGACAGAGCATTAATAAGTCCTCTGTCTTTCAGCTCTGCTTTTTCTGTATTTTGCACTTCCAAATAATATAGGAATGGAAAACAGGGAACAGTCACATGTAATGAGGTACAAGGTTAAACCATGATATCATATAATTAGGGATGCTTCAGTTTCTCTGATGCCTATCACTCCATACCCTCAGTGTCTAAAGTGCAGACACTCTCCTGAATTCTGCTGTCATAAAATGATGATTTTCTGACTAATACTTGTCAACAAACTTAGTTGTGCCTCATACTGGTTCTCATGTAGTTCTGAGCCCTGTGTGGGCAATCAAATCTCTTCCTGCTTCCAATCTATTTTTATAAACAGAGACAATTCCCCAGAGGGTTTCTGGTGCCATTATGGACCCTCAACAAGGGAAGGATATGGAACTGGGTCATCAGAACTTGTCCAAGGTTCTGTTTTTACATCACTTTACAGTGATATAGTTCTTTTATCTGTGAGAATTTAAATACTTGGGAAATATGAAATTTAGAGAGATGATTCCCATGGTAACTTGTATTTATGCCCCAGGAGTTAATCTGGTTTTTACTGAAAAAATAAACAAAAGGGAGAGAGCCTATTTTGTTTTGTGGTAAGAAATTGCTAAACCCTATATAGTGTAGAGCAACCTTTAGTGACTGTGGGTAAGATAGAGGTATTGTCATTATCAAAAGAAGCACTAAAAAGTGCTCACTAATGTACTGCTGAAGGAGGCGTATGGATAGATATAGTGAGTCAGAAGATATTGCTTAAAGATATACCGAGGAGATATTCAGGCATGATATAGCGGCTCTCGTAGAAGCCACAGCAAGCAGGCAACCTTTAAATACACTTATCAAAGTTTTTGCAGCTCCCGTCAAAAAGAAGGTGAAGTAAAAATAAATATGGAGCAAAGAGAGTTCATCGGTAACCAGAGAACTATAACAAATAAATACAGGAAGAAATCAGTGCAGACCCACTGGCTTGTGTTTCATTTACTATAGCTCACTTGCCAATTTAAGCAGTTTCATCTAGGAGAACAAAGTCTTTAACAGTGATACTCCAGTGGTAATGACAAGGGTCTCTGTACTCTATCTTCCTTCTTATTAAATCTTTACGCTGTAGTGGAGATGACTTCATGTAGTTCTTAGATTGTCTGACAGGTAGAGGATTGGGATACTTACTTGCTTACTACAGACCCACTCTTCAGTGACTGCAGTTACCCCCCAGAAATGTTTGCCTGCAGCATCACTGGCTTGTTCTCTGCTCCTGTTAATGGAGCTCCTATTTATTATAGCCCTGGACAATTTTATTTAGGAATTCCATTAGGTTTTCCAGCCCTAGGGTTACAATCTTCAATTACGCCTATTATTTGACTTGTGCAATTCATGCTTCCTGTACTGTACTACCCTGCGACCATGCCACATTCTACAGAGCCTGCTTTAAAGAACTGCTGACACCTCATGGTGAACTTTCAAAGATCTCTTAAAAGCAATCCTGCTTCTGTCATATACTATTTACATTTCTCTTACCTTGTTCCTTGCCACAATGTGAAGAATGTGGGCAAGAAAAAATATTTTAAAATTATTCTCATCCTGGAACTTAGTTTACGTAAAGTTATAATTATAACATTGGAGGAAACAATATCAGATTCCTAATTTAAATGGAGTTTTTCTCAAAAAAACGGTGACTTTTCACTTGTGAGAAAAAGATAGAGATTTAACTCTTGTTTTGGAGAGTTTACCAGTGGTTACCACAGGAACTTATATCTACTGATACTTACTTGGATGTCAGAGCACTTATAACTACTTATGACACGGTGTCACAAACAGATTACAACTTCTGTTTGAACATGTGCAGATGAGTTTTTACATAGATAGTAAATGTATTTCTTAAAAAATTGTCTTTGCTAATAAAGAAGAGAAGAGTGACAGGAAGCTAGGGTTGCTTCTAAAAAAAATCTTGTCATGGTTTTTCATCAGGTGTCAGCAGCTCTGTCACCAAAAGGCATTACAGCAGTCCTGTGGGTACAGCCATGCTGTGGGTGACAGCAGAGTTAATGCTATGCCATTGTTTGGGGGTGGAGGGGAGAGTTGTGAGGGGGTGGGTTGTTTGGGGGGAAGGAGGGGAGGTTTAGCATCATAGCGAAGCGGGGCTGAAAGTGACCTTCAGAGGTCATCTAGTCTAACCCTCTGCCTGAGGCAGGATCAGCCTTATCAAAACCATCCCATACAAACCATAATCTAAACTCTATATAGACATATAGACTACTCTCAACCCTGACACAACACAGACATAACACCTTAAGCTGTCACAGGTAAAGCAGGAGAAACCATGGCAGCTACTGTCCTGCTTCTATAAAATGTCAATATACACTCAAGAAGTCCCTGGTAGAAGGCCACATCCCATGCTACAGAGGAAGGCAAACACGCACACAGTCCATACCAATCTGACCATGGGGTAAAATTCCTTCCTGACCCCAAATATGGTGATCGGTCTGATACTAAGGAAAGGGGCCAGGAACCGCTGGCTTTTCTCCTAGCGGGAGAATCAGCACACCCCAGTTGAAGTCCCCAGCTTTAGCTGCAGCTAACACTCAATACCTCTGGGGAGGCTTAGAAACACCCTGATGCAGAAAAGCAAGGGTGGGAGCAACCTGCAAAGCTCAGAAACATGGGAAATACCGATAATATAACAGGCATAGCTGTGTCTAGATCTTCCCTGACCAGTGGCTGTCGAACCTCTTCTTGAGCATCTCCAGTGATGGAGAGTCCATAGCTTCCCCAGGCAGTCTATTGCACTGCCTCACTGTCCTGACAGTGAAGAATTTTTTCCAGATATCCAGTCTAGATTTACTTTGCTGCAACTTCAAGCCATTGGTCTGAGTCCTCCTCTCTGCAATGAGATAGAAAAGGTGCTTTCCCTCTTTATGGCAGCCCTTCAGGTATTTGAAGACTGATATCATGTCCCCTCTTAAGCAACTTTTCCACAGACTGAACATGTCTAACTCCTTCAGCCTGGCCACCTATGATTTGCCTTTCAAGCCCTTTATCATCTTTGTTGCCTGCCTTTGTACTCTCTCAAACTTCTTCATGTCCTTTTTAAAATGTGGAGCCCAGAACTGCTCACAGTACTCCAGATTAGGCCTAGCCAGTGCCAAGTAGAAAGGCACTATCACTTGCTTTATCTTGCACTTAATGATACTGTGGATGCAACTCAAAACCACATTCACTTTTTGTGTGGCTGCATCACACTACAGACTCATGTTGAATCTGTGATCTACCAAGACTCCCAAGTTCTTTTTTCCATAGAGCTGCCATCCAGCCCGGTGTTTCCCATTTTATATTTGTGTTTTGGATTATTTCTCTCAAGGTGTGGCACCTTGCATTTGTCCGCGCTGAGCTTCATCCTGTTAGCTGTAGCCCAGCTTTCCAATCTTTCGAGATTCTTCTGAATTATGCTTGTGTCCTCTCATGTCCGTAGCTTCTTCACTGAAAGATATTACAGCAGTACTGGGGGTGACAGCAGAGTTAAAGCTGTGCCATTTCTTCTTTTTAATATCTCTACTTACAGGACAAACTTCTCTTCAGAACTTCACCCCAGTCTTTCAGTCTCTCAGACTTTGAGGCTATTTATTTTAAAGGAAGGATCCATTTTTCCAGGATTGAGCAAAGAAAATAAACTGGTTTTGTTACTGTCAATTAATTTTTTAAGCTCCTCTAACACCCTAACCAAATTGGTCGCAATTTTCAAAAGTGTTCAGGATTGGCCAGCTCTTGTATTATTAAAATCAAAGGGACTTTGATACGAGCAGTTATGCCAATGCTGAGCACTTCTGAAAATTACATACATCATTTACAGCACTATTTTGGATGTTGGTTACTCCATATTTGGAACAACAGGGCTAACGTCTTAGGGAAAAGGTTAGTTAAAACTGAGTTACTTTCCAAACCTTTCATGATTTGTTTGTGTAGTAGTCTGTTTTCTTGCAATATGCACCTATGTTGCACACATACATGGAAACAATTAGATTATCTAGGAAAATGGAGGCATGAAAGTTTGTGGGGGCAACAATTTAGAAAGTCAGAATATAAACTGTGGGGGGACTGGACTAGTATTACAGTTGGGGTGCAAATCTGTTTTCTAGCATGGACGTAAATATGAAACAGCACTTAGTTTCATAGTTTCATAGTTTCTAGGGTCGGAAGGGACCTGAGCAGATCATCTAGTCCAACCCCCTGCCATGGCAGGAAAGAGTACTGGGGTCAAACGACCCCAGCAAGGTGTTCATCCAACCTCCTCTTAAAAACCCCCAGGGTAGGAGCCTGCACCACCTCTCTTGGAAGTTGGTTCCAGACCCTAGCCGCCCTGACTGTGAAATAGCGCCTTCTGATGTCTAACCTAAACCTACCCTCTGCCAGCTTGTGACCGTTATTCCTGGTCACTCCTGGCAGTGCTCGGGGGAACAGTGACTCCCCCAATGCCTGCTGATCCCCCCTGACTAGTTTATAACAGGCCACAAGATCCCCCCTCAGCCTTCTCTTTTGCAGGCTGAACAGGTTCAGGTCCCGTAGCCTCTCCTCATAGGGCCTG